CTGAATGCTGGGATTCAGACATTAATAAGAGTTGGTAGAGACATCAGGTACAAGACAGACTTGGAAGGACAGCTTCTTCTGTCATGTCACTTTGGGTGACATGATTCCTTCACTACTCTGGTCCTCATATGTTGTTCTTATAAAATGAGTGACCACTTCAAGCATTGACATCCTATCATTCGTGTTATTTACTATAGCAGGGACTTCAGTGACTGCCAGCAGCAGTGACCTATAGTTTTCCCTTCCGGGTCATGTGGAAGAGACTACTAGTGGCTTCCCAATTCCTTTCTTCCTTCTTCATTAGTAAAAGAACTCCAGCTCTCAGCTGAGCAATTGCCACTCAGTAAAAGACCAAATTTTCTAGGTTCCCAGTGATGTAACTATGTTCTATCCAATGTGATATGGGAGAAAACATCCTATGCAACTTTGGAAAACTCTCCTTAAAAGGAAAGAGGCTGAGGTGATGGATAACACCATCCCTGCCTTCAAGCTGCTTAGACTCTAGTTTGAGAGAGAGAAATAAAACAACACTGGAACAACTAAAAAATACATGCCAAAGACATAATTATGTGCCTTTGTCTTTTATCAGTTGTTCCAGATATTTCATTCAGACTTCCGGGAATAAGAAAACAACTGGAAAAACTTTAATGTAATCATTCAATAAACATTGAGCACCTGTTATATTCCAGATTCTGCTGAACTAATCGAATACAGCATTTGACATGAACATTTTGCTCCCAATCCAACAAGCACACACAGTGTCGACCTTACATTTAAAAATCATATTTAACATTAAAATACCAATTTTCAGCTTGTATTGAATAATGGAAGAGTTGGTAACATGGAGCTTGTATTCCAACTTGACAACAATTTGCAGCAGTTGGATAACAACGCCTCTTTCCACGGCGGTTGTGTCTTCCCATTTATGACAGTTGCTATCACTTCTCATTTTTCTTCCACCAAACTACTATGTTCATACATCACTTCTTGCCTGGCTCTGTAAGACTTTGGGGGGTGCAATTCCCTACCCCAGAACCTGGGGGAAAAGGGGTCAAATGTTCCCTTCGTCATCAGAAACAAACATTTATTAAGCACTTATATGGCAGAAGACTCTAGCTGAAATGTAATAGGTCCTAACATCTACTTTGAGCACTTATATTGACATTTGGGGATGAAGGAGAAAGAAAAGAAGGGAGTCTGATTATGAAGCTCAAGTCCAAATTCAAGGCCAGTCTGTGGGATCTTCCTGGGGGCCCCTAGTTTTCTGCAGGAGCACAATCCAGTTGCAACCCAATCAACAATCCGAAACACTTCTTTACTCCCCCCTTGCTCCCTGGTAGTCACAAGAATCACTCCAACTACTCCAAAGGGCCATCTAAACACTGGACTGGGCATCTGATCCTACCTGATAGTGTGTACCAAGAAGGATACATTGGCTGATAAAGAATCGAAAACCCAAATCAACTATCTTAAACAAAAAGGACACTTTGTTATATCACTCGACAGGAAGTCCAGAGGTAGAGCAGTTCCAGGGCGGGTTAATTCAGTGGCTCAGTGCCACCGTCATGGGCTCGGGTTCTTTACACCACGCCACTGTGCCAATCACAGTGTGCTGGTATTGGTCCTTCGTGTGAGTCTTCTTGGTTGCAAGTTCTCCAAGCATCTTGTCCTCACCCAGCAAACTCCAAAGCCATAGAAACTAAGATCATGTAGCCCTTATAATCGTTGCTCTTTAAGATGGAGGAAAACTTTCCCCAAAGCCCCCACCAAGATCTTCGCTTCATGTTTCATTGGTGAGAATTAAATCACATGCTCAGCACCAAACCTGTCACTGACAAAGAGAATAGAATTATAATGATTGGCTCAAAGTAATCAAGATTCATTCTCTGGGAACAGAGAGGGGTAAGGTCTTCCCTGAAACCATGGATGCCCAAAACCAAACAAAATTGGGGTTCTGGCCCAGGCGTGATGGCTGACGCCTATAATCCTAGCACTCTGGGAGGTTGAGCTAGGAGGACCACTTGAGGCCAGGAGTTTGAGACCAGCCTAAGCAAGAGCAAGAGCCTGTCTCTACAAAAAATAGGAAAATTAGCCAGGTGTATTGGTGAGCACCTATAGTCCCAGCTGCTTGGGAGGCTGGGCCAGAAGCATCACTTGAGCCCAGGAGTTTGAAGATGCAGTGAGCTATAATGATGCCACTGCACTCTAGCCTGGGAGACAGAATGAGACTCTGTCTCAAAAAAAAAAAAAAAAAAATGGGGGATTCTGCTAGGAAGAAATAAGAAGCAGGAAATAGGTGTTGAATAGGCAGTGAACAGTTTCACCAGCCCATGTGACCGTAGGTCATTCATTTTCTCTCTCTATTCCTCAATTTCCTTATCTATAAAATCAGAAGAATGAACTAGAAAATCTCTAGGCCCTCCAAGTTACCTTCCTAATTGATTTTGAGTGCCTAGTGCTAGTGACACAAGATGCTCCTTAATTGACATTTAGGGGTCACAGGAGCATCAATATTAGTCTAAGATCTAGAGGGAATTCATGGAGGTGGTAAGGCTGCAGTGTCCTTGGTGGCTATAGCCTCCTCCTCCTCCAGAGAGCCCCTCCCCTATACAAAGCCCCCTTAGTCTCTCTCTGGCCACTGGCCTTTCCAAGGGATGCCAACGCCCATCACTGACCAGACCTCATCCATCCACTCAGTTATTCGTTTATTTGCCACTGAGAACCTCTGTGCTCTGAGCTGTATGTTGAGCCTCCACTCTGTTTGTTCTACCATTACCAGGGGATAGAGGAGAAAGGGTTTAGGGTAAGAAGCAGGAAATGAATGGAAGAAGAGATGTAAAATCCAGGTCCCAGTTTTGCCAGTTAAATTCTAGTTCACACTCACTTTCCCAGGAAGCTCCCCAGATCCCTCCAGCCCCTGCTTAACCTGGAGCATGCATATCCCTGGTGGTCTGCCAGGAGAATGGGAAGCCACAGAACAAACGTGGTATATCTTTCGGAAGCATCAAGATAACGTGAAGAGGCCGGGCGCTGTGGCTCACGCCTGTAATCCTAGCTCTTGGGAGGCCGAGGCGGGCGGATTGCTCAAGGTCAGGAGTTCAAAACCAGCCTGAGCAAGAGCAAGACCCCGTCTCTACTATAAATAGAAAGAAATTAATTGGCCAACTGATATATATATAAAAAATTAGCCGGGCATGGTGGCGCATGCCTGTAGTCCCAGCTACCCGGGAGGCTGAGGCAGAAGGATCGCTCGAGCCCAGGAGTTTGAGGTTGCTGTGAGCGAGGCTGACGCCACGGCACTCACTCTAGCCTGGACAACAAAGCGAGACTCTGTCTCAAAAAAAAAAAAAAAAAAAAAGATAACGTGAAGATTGGGGGAGAGGGTGAGTGAAGTATGGCTTCAAACATTAATTTAGATTGAATTAACCATAGACACATTAGAAAGCAAAGATGGTGTGAATTTTTTGAAAGAAATAAGATTCTAAGAAATGTCAAGCTCAAGCTATGGCCCGCAGATCACTCAGAGAGTGACATGCATTCATCCTCTGTGGTCACTATGAGAACCATGGGAGGATATTGAGAGAACACATTCATTCAAACCCTTGGCTCTGCCACTTACCAGCTTGATAGGTCAATGTCCTTGGGCAAAGTATTTCACTTCTGGAGGCCTGTTTTCCTCTGTTAAAGGAAATACCATTGCTAAATGAGGATATTAACCACACTTACTTCATTGAATGAGTATAAGGAGCAGAAGTGATCTTGGTCAGAAATGCTTAGCATGGAGCCTCAATAAACATTCATCTTTATTAAGTAATAAATGCCTACAAGTCAAAAAATAACTACTATGTGTTAAGCACCTTTTATGTGCCAGCACTGTGGTAGGCATTAGGGAAACAAAGGTACGGAAGGGAATATCTTGCAATTAAGTGCCTACCTTTATGCCAGGCACTAAGCCAGTGCTTCCGTATACTCTTTCATTTAGTCAGAGACAAATAAAATGCAACCTCTGCCTCTCCAGTGCAAGGTGGTGTGTTGAGAGCACAGAATGTTTTGTAGCTTGCAAATTCATTTCGTTGGATGATCATGATTATGACAATCATTTGTGCTGCCCCAGGTGTTTTCTCATAAAACCCACTCCCTTTAATTTATAACAATATACCCTGTGAATTTTTAATAGATATGTGTTATCTATAGTTGATTATCAAAACTTAGGGGCTAGAGATGAAGTGAGAGGCTGATAGTTAGCAAATTTAGTCCAGCCCCCTGGGAGGTGGTACAGGAAGTATTTTTGCACCTGGGCCCTGGATTCAGCCCACATGCCACAGGTGGAATTCTACCTGTGCCCCTTACCAGTTGAGTAACCTTGGACAAGTCATTTGACCTCTCTAAATTCATTTTTCTCATTTGTAAAATAGAAATTAAAATAGTTCCTTCCTCATAGGATGGAATGGTGGTTTCTTATCTGTTAAGCAGGACAAAAATAGTCCCAACCTCATCCAACTGAATGAAGTACTACATCTAAGCCCTTAGCATGTTGGCTGGGATATAGAAAGTGTAAAATAAGTGAAGTAGTGGCTGTTATAATAATTATTATTATTAGCTCCAGTACTGCCCGACAATAACCTCTAACCAGAGCTAGCATACTGGTTCATTTTGCTACTTAGTGTGAGTCATCTCCTGTTTTCCCCCGTGGGATAAATATGAGCAAGCCAGTGGGAGTCAGCGGAACACGGAAGCAAACGAGTGCTCGGCCAGAATAATCCATCCAGGCGGGGACTGTGCCGGCCTCCTTACCCACCTCTGCGTAGTTAGTCCCCACACTGCTCCCAGAGGAAGCCACCGAGCCCACTGTTCCCAAGACTGGCTGTGAGCCCCTTATTCTTCCTCCCGAATTTAAAGAGGAAACATCCCCCCCCCCCCGACATCAATAGTCATGACCCAGTTATGGTGTTTCCCTGACATCCAACAGATTGACATCATTGTACACGACCATTCCTTACCCATGTGTTGGCCGGTTTTCATTTCTTTTTAGGGCGTTTTTATGTGTATCTGTGTATTTTCCATTTTCAGCCCAAATGGGCAAACTGCCCTTTAGCTTATTAGAGTGCACGTCAGATATCTTTGGTGCTGTGACTCTTCAGAGACACAAAGTCTCCCTCCTTCATGAGTGGAAAAGCAGACCATCACCGTATGTTGGTTCCAGAGACCCTTCAGAATTGAGGAAGATGATGGTGGACAAAGAGCTCGTGGCAGCGGGCCGTGCCCCAGCCAATTGACACTGGGCATCTTCATGCTTCTGCATCTCAGTCTCCTCATCTGCAAGACAAAGACATTGGACCCCGTGATCTTAATGTTGCTTCATTTATCCATAAACAAATAACTATTGCACTCCTGCTGCATGCATGCTGGGCACTGGGGCACCACAGTGACCAGGACAGACCAGGTCCTGCTCTCATGGAGTTTTCGCCGGAGTCACAAAGACAATAAACAAAGAATTAACTTCAGACAGTGAGGAGTACTATGGAAAAACCCAAAAGAATGATGACAAGATAGTGCCTTGGTGGGGTGGGAGGAGCCACTTTCAATGGGATGGTCAGACAAGGTCCCCAAGGAAGTGACAATTAGCCTGAGAATTGAAGAAGGAAAAGGAGTCAGCTCTGGGCCCCTTGGGGGAAGAAGGCGGAGGGACGAGTTATAGAAGTTGTAGAGTTTTCATCGGTGAAACACTCTGGGTCTGTAACGCAGGAGCCACTGGGCTGGCCCACAGGAGGAAATGTTGTTTGGATAATGAGGTTGGGTCGCAGTGAGAACGCGGGGCCCCCCAGGCCCTGGGAGGGGGCACGACCCGACTCCTCCTCTACAAACACTCATGAATGTCCACAGCACGCAGCGCTCAGCGCCTCCCAGTCTGAGCGCCGCTCAGAGCCAAGTGTCTGGAGGCAACGCGAGGAATGAGCACTGACCTTTCGGGGCAGCGATGACAATGATAAATGAAGCAGGATCTGGATGCTCGCCCTTGACTATAAGAGGAAACAGGCGGACTGTGAACTGGGGCTCATGCTCCGAAGCTTAAGTTTCACCCGCTACGCAGTTTCTAGAGCCGACTGTTCCCACAGTGTGGGGGCAGGAATTTGGCCTTAGGGGCTGCCCTGCTGCACTCACAGACCACTCAGCTGTCAGCCCAGATACCAGAGCCGGAGCACACAAGCAACCTCACGAAGCCTGTAGCATCTTCTGGGGTGGGCTGGCCTGGGGGACATGGGGGTGGCTGAGGCAACATAAGGGGCTGTGCTGAGCATCAAAACACTTGGCTGTGGTTCCAGCAGTGCCCAGAAGAGCCAGGTGACACCTCCAGCCATTGTAATAGCACCGAGTGAACACCTGCTAGGGCCCAGGCATGCTGCAGGCTCCTCATACACCCTATCTCATTTAACCCTCAGCACAACCTTGGGGAAAGTTCTTCTACTATCCCTAATAGACAGGAGGCTGCAGGAGATCTTGCAGCTTGTTCAAGGTCACTCAGTGCAGAGGTGGGAAATTAACTTGGGTCAGGCTAATTCCAAGTTTCCTGTTCCATTCTCTTAGCAACTCATCAGTTAAGTGGGAATAGTGATCATATGTGCCTACCCTTATCACACGGTTGTTGGGAGAGTCCAATGAGAGGAGAAGGTGCTTTGTAAACATCAACGAGCTATTGCAGACCTGCTGGCACCCTACACATCATCAGGCCCCACCAACTGCGCTCTGAGACTAAGGAGCGGCTCTTCGACGAGAAGTACAAGCCTGTATCCTCACTGCTAATCGGGGGACCGAGCTCTGTTGGGGAGCAGGTCTTGCAAAAGGAGGAGAAGGACCGGCTCGCCCTGAGCCAGGCGACTCGACTCGCAGGTGCAGTTGGAGAGCCCGAGATGAGTTCAGGGCTCCTAGCCCCGGCGGACGGTTTGCCCGGGACTGTGCGGTCGGTGTCACTGAGCCCCACATGCAGAGCCACTGGGATGAGTTGTGTGCAGAGTGTTCTCTCACTAGGGTTTTACAAGTTTGGGGAGTCTTCGCTCCCTTTCCTTGTCAGGTGAAGTTAATTCGGAGCCTTCTTGGTTTAGCAGCTGGGGAGAGCAGAGCAACTTGACCTCGTACTGTGTATCGCTGCCAGAGCTGGTAAGGAGCCTTTCACACAATCCTTTTGTCACTGGGCCTCACAGTCCCCAGGACATTGGTCAGGTGACTCCCATGGCCATTCAGATTCTCTTTTTAAAATTGGAACTGAAATGTTTTTATCCTATGATCTATTCTGTCTTTTATTTTTATAAGTAATATTTTTCCCAAGCACGGTGGCAACATAATGAGATCCCATCTCTAAAAATATTAAACAATTAGCCAGGTGTAGTGGTGCGCACCTGTAGTCCCAGCTATTCTAGAGGCTGAGGCAAGAGGATCGCTCTAGCCCAGGAGTTTAAGACCAGCCTGGGCAACATAGGGAGACCTTATTTCAAAAAAATAAAATAAGTAACATCAAGACATCTTGTGTACCCTTCACCCCACTTCTCCCAAATGCAAACATCTTAAATAACTAATACTAAATGAGAGAATTGACATTGGTATGGCTATTTGGATGTTAAGGGGAAATTTTTTGCAAAAACAACCTGGTTTTACTGTATCTATTGACAGTGATTGGAAGTAGCTTGGAAGGACAAAGTATTTTCTGATCTGTAAATCTATATGGAATCATAGATTCTGGGCATGTTACACTTCAGTAACCCTAAAACACAGAATTCTATGAAAAGGAATTAAATGTACGTGGCTGGTACTTAAACAGGTTATGGTAATCATATATTTCAAGCTAAAGTATGAATGAAACTACCTCTGTCACCTCAGTGGCATGTGGCTAGTTAATAAAACCAGGAGATGAAACCAAAAAAAAAAAGAGAGAGAGCTATTCTAGGGTCTGCCGGCCCTGGCTCAGCTCCTAGGGGCGTTGCTGTCTGCACAGGTTCCTGCCCTCCCCAAACACACCCCTATTTCACCCCCCCATTCCTGTATGGAGCACCCACAGTGCTCCTGCAGCTACCCCGACATCCCTGTCCCTGCTGTCCCCGGGGGCAGAGGTCCATGCCCCCACGGCCGCCTTTTCCCAGAGCAGCCCCAGCCCCGTCCCCTTCCCTTGCTGGGAAGTCTCGGCATTGGGCCAGCAGGATGGGGAGGGCGTGTGGAAAATCTGAGGAGATGTTTTTCTTTCTTGGGAAGAAAGCCAAACTGCAGTTCGCTAGAATTCTATAAATTATGTACCCAGAGAAGATTTAGTTTAGAAGGAAAAGGGGGAAAGAATCCCTTACTATTTGCTCAGTGAGCGGGGTTGGCCGAGCCAGAGCCAAACCCCACATTTTTGGGCTGACTTGCTGTGTTTGCAAAACAGGCCCATGTTCCAGGAGACAGCCGGGGAGGCCACAGAGCAGCCAAGATTTCTGCGCAGGCCTCTCTCTGGCCTACTTTCCAGCCCCTTGCTCCAGCCCGGGTCTATGGCATTGTTTCTTGGGTCTAGAGGGCTGGGGGCTCCGGGGAATGGTGGGCCACCACGACCCCTCTCTGCCCAGTGGCTCTCTCACTCCGCACCCCTCCACCCCCATGAAGCCCACTGCCAGAGGAGCTGACCCGAGGACACCACCTCCAGGAAGCCTTCCTGAGCCCTGACGCTGGGTCAAGGCTCTTCCCCAAGGGCTTCCACAGGCTCCTTGAGGACAGAGACCCTGTGGTTTTGCTCACAGCAGTCCCCCGGGGTGGGACTTAGGAGAATGAATGAATGAACGAATGAATAAATACCACCTCTGGCCTGCGGTGTCCCACCCTGAGTTTTTCCCCAATTCCAATCCAGAACGGCTCGGCTCTTCAGACAGGCATCCTGGATGTTGCATTGTACTGTGTCTGTGCTGTGTTTTGTTCCCTCCTGTTTTCTAGCCTTCCCTCCTACTCAGCCGGCCATTAAATGCTACATCGAGAGCCAACTGCTTGCGATGCCTTTGCTTGTGCCTGCTGCACCCCCTTGAAGAAGCAAAGCAGTTCCAACCTTTCTTCACCCAGACGTCTTCCCTAACCTCCCTACCCTACCCCTGCTTTGGCTACAGACTCCTTATCTCAGATCTCAAAGAAAGCCTGCATGCTTATCTGTGATTTGTCACACGGCTGCCTCCACCCCCCAGGCTCCAGGATACTTGGGAGCAGAGAGCCTGACCTAATCATCTCCGTCCCTAGCCCTTAACCCAGTGCCTGACACGCAGCAGCTGTTCAATACGTGCTTGCTGAATTAATTAATTAACTAACATATGTGGAAGACAATAATAGCATGTGATGTCATGGGACAGAGTGTGAATGAGGTCCCAGCAAATGCTGTGGGCAAAGAGGAAGAAAGCAGTGGCTGTGGGCTGGGGCGATTTGGGAGGGGGAGGACATGGTGTCAAAAGAGAAGCTGACAGGAGATAAAGCGAGAAGGATGATAGCAGGGGGTAGCAGGGGAAAGTGAGAAAAAGGCCCAGGCTTTACCTGACATAAATCAGACCATGCCTCCTCCTGCTCAAAACACCAGTGGCTCCTCTTTGTATTTAGGAAAAAAATCCAAACATTTTATAAAGGCTGTGAGTCCCCATGTATCTAACTCAGCCCTCTAATTTTGGAAAAAGGGAAACTGAGTTCCAAGGTGACAATGACAGGGATGCTATGATCATAGTGTTTTTATTTCAAACAGTGTTTTTGTTAAAAAAAAAAATGTTTAGCAAATCATGTATAATATTTTTACTATTTGCCTTTGGTTTGAAATCCCTAGTGCGATCTTCCAGAGCTTTCTTCTTACATGAACCAAGTCCTGTGAGCCTGCCTTTATGTAACACAGTTGAGATTTGTCTTTTCCCATCATGACCCATTTGAAAGTTGCCCTATTTAATGCTGTAGGAAGCTATTTTGGGGTTGTTTATCTTTTAAATTGCTATGGGGCCTTAAAGTTCCAGCCTTCAAACCTGGTCTCCTGAGAACCAGGCAAAGAAGAATTGTTTGTTTTTTCCATCGCTAGCTGCTGAAGCCGCTCCTCATGCCAGCCACCGAGCCAGGAGTGACACGGACGTGATCCTGCCCGCAAAGAACTGGAGAGCTGAGGGGGGAGAGGGCGTGCCCAGTATCAGGTGAGGATTTTTGAGCCAGGTACTGAAGTGATCACTTTATATACTTTATCCTTCACTCTCCCAATAATCACACATGGTAGATACCATTACCCTCATTCTCCAAGTGAGAAAACCGCAGCTAGGAGAGACCAGAGACGCTCCCAAGTCTAGCAT